TCCAAGCATATTTCCCCCTTCAACTTGGAAAAATCAGGTTTTGAACTAATACAGCCTGCAGAAGTTGATGATCGACCTTCTATCAGCTCATCTAGAGGTTTTGAGCGCTCCCCAACAGTCCCAGATTGGGTAGCACGATTGTCACTCATGCATTGTGTCCCGGAGAGGACCGTTTCCTGCAAAGGAATTTGAGATTGGAGCTTCTGATCAATACCAAGCAATTTATCGTGCTGTTCAGAACAGTGGCTGTCTACATTCATATAAGCAGAAGAATGATCAGGAGATCGACATGCTAAGCGGAGCCTCTCTTCGTGTTTGACCTTGTGCAACATTTCCTCGATGTACTATAGGAGATATTAAGACCAAAAAGGATCCAAGACAATTAATAACACAATAAACACTTTTAAGTTCAAACCATGGGCTTGTATATGTACAAGCAGGGGAAAGAAAAAACAATGAAAGAACAAAACCACAGGGAGAAAAGAACCTAAAAAATTATGCAGAATATGAATTTAAAGAAGGAAAGAGTAGAGTAGAAATCATCCCCCCACACCAAAAAAATATAGTTAGTATTGTTTTCTTTAAATAAGAATTGTCAGGTAGGAATTGCACAGCTCTGCAAATTGGCTAGCATGTAGTTGCTAAATCAACATTAAAATTTTGAAAGAGATTCTCATATGCGACATGAGTATATATAAAGTTCTTTATCCCCTATCTCAGCTGACTTGATTTAAATATAACAGCGAGAAAACTAAAAATAGGTTTGATTTCATCTTTTTCATAAAAAAGAAGGAAAAAACCGATAGTTCATAGGAAGATGAAGAAGAAAAAATAACGGAGAAATGTTAGGATGGAATGTAACTTGAACAAGTAGACAGTCATCCTCACCAGACACAAGTTCTGCGAATTCCAAGAAGCTAGTTTCCACTAAAACTGGAGTAAAATTGGCAAAAATTAAGAATTAAGGCCCCTACTAAAGTGTCAAAACCCATATAAGTAAATATCAACATAAACCCCAAACTCAAAAATAAAGCTTGACAAAGTGTCTTCAAGAGAAAAATCAGAGAAGATCAAGCACTAAGCAATTTGTTAGATGCAAACATGAAAAGCATCCACTAATCCATTTAAAGAAAGTTAAAAATCCAAGGGCTCTGAAAGCTGGAAATACCTCAAGGCGTGCACTTAACTTTTCAGCATCAGCTTCTGTGTTCTCAGATTGTGACAAACCTGATACATATTAATCATTCAGAAAGGTTAAGATATATAAAAATATCACAACACAAAAAGGACATGACAATGATCATCCCATGAGATAAAGTAGACATAGCATGACCAGGATGCAACATTAGAAATCAATAATTTGAACAAAGCTACCAGCTGCATCTTCAAATACAAAGCTAGATTTTCAAGTAATTCTTTTCCGAAACTGTATTGCTCAAGTTTTATTGCCTAGATGACAATTTTATGGATCTAATTATTGACTGCTTTTGGTTTAGCCATTTCCATGAGCTTCGCTTTCCTCTAAGGAGTGTCTCTTGTACAAGTCTTCATTACTCAGACTATACCTAATTGATATTTGGCACATTTTAATCGATTGATGTATATCAAGGAAAGGTGTAACGTGCATATTTAAAAGTAGATAAAAATGGAAATATCTAGGAAACAGAACAGAAATACACAAGAAGCATGCAAACCAATCAGTCCAGACCACCCGAGCAGATAAAAACAAAGTTAAAATCACAAGCGCAGTAAATTATGAAAGCCCAATTCTTCAGTCACACTCAGCGGCGGTACACTTTCTTATCCTATTCTAGTAGGAGTTTATATAGTTACTACAAAAACTGTACCTTCTGAACTTTCTAACTGAATGCCAGAGGATGACACTTCATTAGAAGTGCAACCTAAAGCCTGCCCAGTGTCTGCAACAATATGGATTTCACGCTTCTCACTTTCCAGCAAACCCTCAACCTCCATAAGTTCATCATCTGTCGCGGGCACTAATCTCCCATCCCCCTCAACCTATATGACATAATTCAATTTAAGATTGCAAATAAGAACAAATCAAACCTGAGGCTACACGTGCACATTTTTGCATAGAATTAAACTACGAAGTTAGAAATTATTATTGATTCACCACCAATCACCTATTATTTGTCAATAAACAAAAGCTCATGTGTTTCCACACTTTTAGCAAAACCTTTCCAATTGTGCATCTGTGCTGAGTGAAGCCCACTATGTGTTGTTAACATTTTGAAAATCGGAAAAAGGGGCTAAAATTTTTTAAAAGATATATTCCTCCTCATTCAGACATGTAAAAGCATCACTCCTCATTAAACAAACTTCGTAACCAAGCATGCTTCAAGAAAGAGATTGAAGCTAATCAAGGCAGGCCAAATTCTTCCCTGACTTTAACTAGTTTTACTAAGCAGAAGCTCAAACCTGACAAACAGCTACAGAACAAAAATGAACATTACATTCCAAAATATGGTATTACCTTTCTAGAAATTATAGATTCTATGCTGATCATAAATACATTTACCTTTTAAACAATATTTTGATATGACCACATCGTTTTTAACTGAATCCAACCTCCACTCCAGGTGATCTAACCTTGTAATTCAACCAAATTTTAAATATTTCTTTAGATTACAGTCATGTTATTGTTTTCTAAATGAAATGGCGGTGTACATTAACCACATCAATTTGTCTTCCCCCAACCAGCTAATTTGGCCCACACCTAGAACCATAAGACATGTAATGTAGAAAACCCTATACTTCATAAGACTTTTAGAATCTTTTATCTGACACACAGTCAAATGACCTCCTCACTAATTCTTTACATTACTGTAGCTCAAATTTTAAACTAAAGCAAATCCAAGTCAACATTCTTTCACAAAAGACAGGTGAAGAAGGCAAAAGTTCCTTATATATCAGTAGAATAGAACAATTAGAATAACATATATTGAAAGAGGTACCCGAACGAGCTTGTAAACAACCGGATCAGCAACATGCTTTGGTGAAGATAAGGCAGAGTTACTTTTCTCAAGGCCGGTCTCTTCAAATTTCCCTTCATTACTCCCCTCAACTAAAACCACTGTTTCCATGGAAAATCCACGACATGCAGCTCAAAAACAAAAACTGGAAAACAAAACCAAAAATAGCCAAGTGGATAGACACATCAATTCGCTTTTCCATCTCAACAAGGAACCTTTATTCATGCACAGGAACACAAGAAAACACAGAAAAAAGAATTCCAATTTTTTCTCTTGCAATATTAATACAATGATTCGTTCTGTCATTTAAATTATGCTCGCTCAACAATCAAATAACCTAATTTCTTGAGTTTAGTACTAAATTCACTCAAAATAGTCCAAAATTTAACACACGCCTAGAACATTACAAACTAATCCAATATCTTTCAAAGTAAAACGTAATTAAACCCAACAAATACATTAAAATTGCTACTTTTATTCAAAATTAACTTTAAAAGCTCCTTTCATGCACCAAAATTCCCATATTCCATGAATTGAAACCCTAATTCTCAAATTCTAACAACCTACCTAAAATAAGCTCGTTTTCAAACAAGTTATATTTTTGCATACATAAACGAAGAAAACGAAATAACACAAAAACTTCACATACTTCTACAAATAATCAAATAAATTGCATATCAACTTGAAAGAAAGGGAAATGAATGGAATTTTAAAGAAAAAATTGAAGGAATTTCACTCACCATAGGACTGTGATTGCTGACCGATTTGACTCAGTCCCTCCAGACGATAACCAAAACCAAAAAGTACTGAAAAGCGACCGATTTCGAAGGAGTTAGAAGTGTGAAAACTGAGTTGATAAAACGAATTAAGGAAATGAGAGAGAAACTTGGCGATAAGATAAAGACTTCTTCTTTTTTTTTTTTGAGTACGAAATTCGTGCGTTTTTTCTTTTCTTTTTCGCAAACGAGTGAGCGTCTTCTTTCTTGGCTCGCTTTTACAGTACGCTGTGTTTACTGTCATACAGTTCCGGATTCGAAATTTTCTGTCAATTGTGTTTTATAAAATGGCGTGGAGTCCGCGATCGTTTTCGGAGAGGGCTAGGCCTTTTTATGTACAGTTTGTAGGATACTTTTTGTTCGGTTCGCTTCACAAGCGTTTTCCGCTTTTCTTTCTTCTTTATTTATTTGTTTAAAACAAATAAAAAAAAACGTTTTAGATTGTATTGGCATTGGGATCTTTATTAGAAAGTAATAATTTCTTTTTTTGAAAAATAATTTAAAATTGATATTATTTTAGTAAATAATTAAGATTTTTTTATTTACATGTGTTGATACTATTTTATATTTTTATTACCCATAATTTAAAAAATCAAACCAAACAAACACCTAACATGAAACTTTCACTTTCGGTATCTAAAACTTTACAGCTTTTATAATATATATATATATATAAGCTAAAAACTGAATACTTTAAATTTTTTTTTTTAATGTGAATGTATAAAAGCCAAAGCAATTTCTTGTGGAATTTGTTCTCTTCCTGCCCAAGAGAGGTTTGATGTTGGGGAAAGTTGAGTGAGGTCGCCACGGGAAGCCCAAGTCCAACCCAGCAAGCGTCTGCATAAAGGCCCATCAAATTCCACCTGCGTTCAGCCCAATACCTGTCCGGTTTCATATCTTTGCTCTGCTGTGGGTGCGAAGGCTTTTGGTTTCATGGCGTTTGGATTCAATTTCAACGCTCAACAGTTAAAACGGGTTTGAATTCAAGCTGCCTGACAATAATGCTGGAGTCTAGAACGTCGGGAGCGTCGGGACTCTAGGCTGCAACTGCAACTGGAGGCAGTGATGGCTTCGATAATGAACAAAGAAAGGTACCATACAATTGTCATTATTTGCAACTTGGGTGGATCTCATTTCTTTACAAAATGATTGTCACTAGCTTTTGCTAATGTACGCAGTTGGTTCAGGTGAGGACCAAACAAAGGCCATTTATAGATCAAAACAGGATAGGAACAACATAAAATGAAACGCCAAATTCTTCAAGTAAGCATATCAATCAAAGAACTTTAATTATTGAACAAAAGACAGACAGTACACTCTTTACATCTATTCATCCAGCAATGCCACTAGACTTGAAGGGCCGGCTTCAACACCCTTTCGGATTCTAGAGGAAAACACCACCATCCTGCATCTTTGTTTCCTTTGTGCTCGCTAACCTCAAAAAACCTACAACTTAAGCTGCTGGTAACCCCTATGTGAGTCGGCAGCAATGCGGTCACATGGGGTAATCTTCTTCCCCCTTGAGCAGGTGGACGATGATACAATCTGGTAGCAAAGTAGCAGGTACTTGCTTACCCTTGGGATCCCATCATCCCAATAATCAAGTATATATGATCTTCACCGAGATACCAAGAACACTTTACAAAGATAACATAAGAAATAGAGTAAGAAACCAATTAAAAGAGAACAAGCAATATAAAAAGTTGAAAAATTGAACAAAACGTTCATTAAAGAAAAGAGAGAAACTGGTCCTTATTTTAACAGGAAGACGATGACCAGATGAAATCGTGCATGAACCATCCTTAAGAGTTGATGGTTCATGGACGCTGAGTCCTAAGCTTAATTTCCTCTTACAATAACCTGCATGATGTTACAGAAGATGAAGTTCTTTTCAAGAAGACATAATAAGAGCAGTAAGGCCAAGTGATGATTTCAATGTCTGTTCACACCTCATATTCCTTTGCCCTACTCTCCATAATAAATCTAAGGACAATAACAGAAAACAGGTCATTCAAAAAAGATACTATTATAATATAACATGCCCTTAATTTTTAAGGTTCCAATTCAAAACTTCAATATGACATGCTCATTTTTTACTTCTTTTAGAAATGTTTTGCACTAATATCATATTCATGTGCCTTTCGTTTACTAATATGCGTGAACGTACGCGCCTGTATAAAGAAAGACAAAGAGATAATGGAGGTGTAGGAGTTCCCGAACTCCAAGAACTTGAATGAGTATAGTTTGGAGAGACTAACAAAACTCCAATTTCGTATAAGCATCATTGAGGATCCTCTTAACCCATCATTATTGGGAAAGGGAGGAGTAATTCTGATGCTAACGAGGTAAGAAACAACTAAAATCCACTTACAACAACATTTCGTCAAGCATAAATTAATATGTAGGGAAATTCCCTGGGAACTACTAACATTATAAACATGGGTTTTAGTACAAACTTTTTACCTTTCATTTTAGCTGCTCTGGGTGGCCTAGATGATGGATCAAAGAAGAGCAGATAGCCGAAAAAACAGACCCTAGAGAATGGAAGTCTGAACAAGTTTATGATAATTTTGTTGGGGAAGATCGGACGGCAAGGATCTCGTTTCGAGAATCCAACGCTTCTGATTAAAATCAGGTCATGTGGGGTCTTGTGAAAAAAGTTTGGCCCCACCAGGGGTAGATGAGGAATTTCAGCTGTCGACTGGTTAAAGTTATCCGCATTCGCGGGAATGGAAACGGTTGGACAAGGAAGAAACAAAAAAACAGACAGAAACGATCAAGGAAAATGGCGGGTACTCTGTCTTACGCTACTCTCCTTAGCCAAACTTATCTATTTTTCCCTTCCCACAATGCTAGCAGAACCCTGAATTCTTCTTTCCTCGTAAACATGGAGAAGCCAGCTCTTACTAGTTGCTCCGCCAAGAAGAAAATCGGATTTATGGATCAAATTCTCGATTATATTGAAGGTTTAGTGTTTCTTTGTTTTCCCATGTGCTTAGATTGGATTACACTTCTACAATTTTGTTTTGTTTGAGGTTGCATTGGTTTATAGGGGGTCCCAAGTTAAGGAAATGGTATGGGGCACCTGAACTATTACCAAAAGATGGATCTGTTGGCGAAGAGGAGGAGGATTATCCAGGTAAGTTGTTATGGAAACTGGAAAGATTTTAGTTGTAAGAGAAAGAATTTGATGATGAACAATATTCTCTTGAATTTCCAGAGGATGAAGTCAGGGATGCAGTTTTAGTAACAGATGGCGATAGTGACATTGGGCAGGTATTAAGTTTCCTTCCATATATTTCTTATAGCCTTTTAAGTACTTCCCGACGGTTGATGCATTTTGAGCTTGTTGTAACTATTGTATGTAGATGGTGATATTATCATTGATTGTCAAACGAACTCGAGTGAAAGCAATTGTGAAGGACAAGCGTACAGCTAATGAAGCCTTTGGAACTTACGTTCAAGTGAGTTGATAATGATATACTTAAGTGAACTTGCTCTATATATGATTCCTGTCAGCTTATTTTCTTAACGATGGTATCTTGTATTTCTTTTTTTTTTTCTTATGGAATGTTGTTCTGTTTTTTCTGCAGTCAATTTCTGGAGACACAAGTAACGAGATATTTGTAAAGAAAGCTCTTCGAGGAGTTCGTGCAATCATATGCCCAAATGTATGTGCATCTCTGATCCTGACCAGTGCATTGCTCCTAATCAAAATATTAGTGTATTAATAGCCAGGTTCTCCATCCTTTCCAGTAGTGTGCTGAATGCTACATACGCATTAGTATTACTAGTCTGAAGACAGGAGAAAACCATAAAGGAGAGCGGAGTGGTCTGAATTGAATAGGTACTAATTTTTAATGAGACAAAGAGACAGGGCGAACCTAAATGGGTGGTAAACTTGCAGATTGCGCATACTTGTGTGCATGACTCCATTCAGAAAATTGTGGGCAAATATAGTCCTTCTTGTTGCTAAGTTCCAAATTTAGCTTCCCACTTAGTGCTTTCCTGCATGATGTATTCAAAAGAAATTTAAAGAGAATTAAAATCTTTCCTAACATTTCCCAAAGGAAATCAAAACGAATTATTACAAACTCTTTTTGACAGTGTACATCATGCATTCATTTTACCATTTATAAGATGCTTCGAAGTATTGCTATTGGTGCTCCCCTTGCCATCAGCATTTACTAAATTTCTTTTTTCTTGTCTTGCAGGAAGGTTTCCTATCTAGTGTTGAGAGCTTGAAAGGTGTTGAACATATAGTTCTCTTATCTCAGGTACTCCCTCTCACCCTTTCCGCCCCTGCCCCTTTATCCTGAGGCAAGACAATAGGCTCTAGACAATGTTTATGCACTATTGTGTTTTACAAAGGTTGCAGTTGTCTATTTATAGAGCTAGCAGTGGCATTCAAGCTCTCATGACAAACAATTCAAGAAAATTGGCTGAGAAAGATGAATCAGTGCTGATGGCTTCAGGAATTCCATACACCATAATTAGAGCAGGAATGCTACAAAATACTCCTGGAGCAACACAAGGTTTCAACTTTGAAGAGGTAGTTTCATTAGTCTTTGAATAGACCGAGCATGCTACATTATGGTACCCCGTTAGTCTTCTTCTTGCAGTTAACTCGAAATTTGAGCAGGATATACAGCAGTAGTCAGTGACTGGAAAAGCATGGCCTTTTGTTTCACTCCTCGTGCATATTCACAATGTTGACTACATACCTAAGCCTTTTTTCCTTTGTAACTAGTTCCGGGAAGAAGTCAATCTAAGAAACTTAGACAATCCAAATCGAAACTATTTAATGTAATATTTTATGGTATCTGGATTTAACTCTTATTACTGACCATAAAAGGAAAACCAAAGTAAAGAACCTTTGGAAGGTTTTCTCAGATGCCCTTTGTCAATCACGTGCTGTTTTGTTTCTTGATTCTTTGAAATCAGCAAAACTGGAATAAATCAGTTTGATAAATTGGAGAGCATATATAGAAATGTTATAAACAGAAAACCACTTTCCATTTTGATAGACTCAGACAAAAAGCACTAACAGTTCCTATGAACGCTATCATTTGCAGGGTAGTGCAGCAAATGGAAATCTTAGCATGGAGGATGCTGCATCTATATGTGTGGAAGCACTTGAAGTAGTCCCGCAAACAAGATTCACATTTGAGGTCCGTGAATAAGCATGTCTACATCTATTAAGGGAAAAAAAAAATAAGACCCTAAAATATATAGTCATTCACTGAACAGTTCATGCCACTGCTACTTGTAGTCAAAATTCTGGTACAACTCTGTCATATCTTTCATTCTTTTATATCAGGAATCAAAGGTAGGCTAGTTTGGACTTTGGACTATCTATCTTGGTATTTTAGACTAGGGCAATTAGTGCTCTCAAACTTATTCGTTGTCATTCAACTAGAATCTGCTTTTTCAAATGCAGAGCTTGATTTTCTCAAGTACTTGAGTTGTAAATTCCTTCAAAAAAAAAAAACAAAAAAGATTTAGTCATTGCAATGAAAAGGTAGTCATCAACAAAATGATGCCTGAATTGAAGTGGGAACAAAGAATATCTGTACAACGTGTAGTGGAACCGTTCAAAAGGCAATGGAATAAGTAATCGTTAATGCACAAAACATTCTTATTTTAAACCACCTTTTTCTTATTTATTTTCTCTTTGCCATTTGCCCTTTTCTTCCCATCCTTTTGTTTCGATCATTTTCTGTGTGAACACAGGTCGTCAATGGAGGAGAGAAGGTTTCGGATTGGAAAGAGTGTTTGACTAGATTGATGGAGAAAACAGAGCAGCAGCTGCCATGATCATACTCTAGCAAAACACAAAGTGAACCCCATTTGTTTGTTTTGAAACCTTGTGTTCAGTAAGTTGGATAGTAAATTTGTTTGTCCTGCATTTGGACTTCAACAGTTTACATTGAAGTTGGTCTACTGCAATTTTTGCATTATGTTTTCGTACTAGTGTGAATGCTGATTTTGAGGGCAAACTGAAAAGATTTGACCTGAAGCAGCTATGATGAATCTCGCAGCATGTTACATGCTCAACATCATATTTTCCATTTTTTTTATTAAAACAATTTTTAGCTTGAAAATAAATACTTAAATGAAAGTAATGTGACTTAATGTTCATCATTTCTTTTAAAAAATCAAATTCAAGACATTTTAATTAAAAATATTACATTTAATGATTAAAGTATCATTAATTTAAAGACTATCGAAACTTTTATTTATCGTTATGTGAAGACAATTTTAAATCTTTATCATAATATTAAAAAACGTTAAATAATTCACGTAATTCTAGCAAAAAAAACATATAAAGATCTCATGAGAATGTTTTTGGATTAGAAACTCCACATGCGAGACTTTGTCGTGTGAATAAAAATGCCATTGAAGAACAATGGTTAGTTGCTTAGTTGCTGGAAAACAAAATCCCAAGCAAGATGCTAGAGTGGCAATGGACATGATTTGGGCTTCAGTGTGATCACAATGATGCTTAAATGCCCTTGGAATTTTTCTAAGTGTTGTCATAATTTTGGGTCAAAGTTAGGGTGAGCATCTTTTGCTTGAATATATAATTTACAAAGATCTCCTTCTTCTTCTTCTCCCCACCATCTCCATTAATATATAATTTAATTACATTCAAGAAAAAGAACTCCTCTTTAGTGTAATAAATCTATTATATATTGATTCTAAGGGTATTCTGAAAGTATTTTAGTTTTTTTAATCTCAAAAAGAAAACTAATGGAAAAAGGAAAGAAGAGAACAAAATGAAAAAAGGGGAAGAAAAAAATTGAAAAAAGGGCAACAGAACAAAATAAAAAGAAAAGGTATTGGTTTTTTTTTAGCTTTTTTCAATTTTTTATTCTCCTATTTTATTTTTTATTTTCTTTTGAAATATCTTCAAATAAAAATAACATGATTTAGAATAACTTAAGAAAATTTATTAATAATTTATATTTAGTCAATGGATTGGGTTTTTTTTAATTGGATCAAAATCGTTTTGAGCTCTTTTGGGTAAACAAAAAGAGAATAATAGGGAAAAATGTTTCATTTTCGCTTCTTTTATGTTTCCTTCATTTTGGATAATTTCTTTTAAATAATATAATTTACAAAAACTTTTAAGAAAAATATCAAATAGTAAACTTTGATGAACAAATTTGTATCTTTTAAAATTAAACAAAAAACATATGTTTTGAGCTTGTCATGATTTTTTTAGACGGACCCTTATTTCCTCTATTCCATTTTTTTTACCCTTTTTCCTAAATATTTTTAAATAAAAACTTTAAAAAATTATGTTTTAAACTATTTTTGAAAAAAAAAGTTTACAAGCATACATATTTTTGGATTTTTAATGTGACTAAAATGTTTTAAAATTTTGGTAAAAGAAAGAAAGAGAGAAAAGAAGAAGAAAAAAAAATTGAAAAAAAAAAGTATGAAACCTTTTTATCATTATATTTGTTCTCTCTTTGTTTAAATAATTTGTACAAAAATCATCAAACATAAAAAGAATTTTCAATTTATAAATTTAAAAATAACAGAAATAAATATATAGTCGTACATGTAAAAGAATATTAGAAAACTAAATTAGAACAATAATTCTTTAAATGTATTGGATGAAATTGAACTTGACGACAACGTAAGAGGATCAGCTAATTAATATATGAAAGAAAAACAAAAATTGGAAGAGAAGGGAAACATGGAAGGATAGATTGGAGTACGGACACAATGTTACATTCTTTATTGTCTGATTCCTCCACTTCATGTGGAGAGCATGCCCAGTCTTTTTAAAACCAAAAATCTAAAACTCTTCTCTCTCCACTGCCCATCCTTTTCAAAAGCCCTTTAGATTCCCCTTATTTGCGTCATTGCCTTCGCCATTTCCACATTGCAGAGAAGAAAAAAAGAGGCAAAAGGAGGTATGTTATCTTTGGAATATTTCTTCACGTTATTTCTTTTTTAGCATAAAATTGACTTTGAAAAGGGGGCCCAATTGATTTTTAAGTCCACAAAAAAAGTTACTGCTGTAGGTGAATCCTATGCAGGATTAATACTTGAATTTCATATTTAGTTGATTGATATGTTGTTGAGGTCAGCTAAATGAATCCTTAGTTTTTCTCAGCCATAACAACAATGTCAAATGAATTTCTTAATGCACTACAATCCAAGGCATGTCTTACCTCACAATTCACAAACGTGATTCACACTGTGAGAGGCAAAGAATTTGCAATTTGGCTTTGCAGGATCAAGTGTAAGTAATGATTTAAAAAAGGTTTGATCAGAAATGGCAGCCAACAAAGTTGAGGACAAGTACCCATAGGGTGTAGGGAATAGTAGCCTGAGCCTGACAGAAGGTGCTAATCAGCCTAATCTTTTGTTTTTTTTTAATATAGTTCCAGGTGTATTGATTTATTGTCCAGAATGCAGGAAAGTTATCTTATGTTATAAAAATGAGAAAAAAAAAAGGGGAAAGCAGCAAAGTTTAATATATCTGTGATCCACTAGCAACAAAACCTTTTAAAATTGATTAATCAAAGGCTGAAGGCATCATTGTTATGCCAATCCAGATGAAGAAAGTGTAAGGAGCTAATAAAGAATAACTAGTAGTAGTAGATTATCTATTCTGATCACATGTATCAGACAGTGCTGTCTGATTTTGTCCTAGCTGTCACAGAGCATAATCGATGTCCAAATTTGATGGTCAAAACCTAACTGATCTAATCTTTAATGATCACCTTAAACAAAAGCATATGCAGTTTGCTTTTATTGTTATGAGATATTAAAACTGGTGGAACTTCCTGCAGCTGCCAGAAAGGGTTTTCACATTTGCCTTGATTGATTGGCTGGACGATGGATGTAAGGTCAATTATATGGGTAGAAAAAGCTGTCAGGAAGGACAAAGCTCTAGCAAATATCCGAGGATTAAACTTTTTAAGTCTTTTAACCATAGAACAGAAATGGGGTTATCTCCTTTGGCTTTGATTTACAAAAGGTTTCACATCACTTGAGCTGTTACCAATAATTTGAGTAACACCCATGTCTACAATGTTCACACAATTTTTTGGATAGGCAACTTGTTTCCCACTTTTTTTTCTTGGGTTTTTTGGGTGATAGGCAGCAGTGTTCAAAATTTAAACAAGAAACTAGGTATTCACTGCAAAACATTCACATGGGGCCCTCCACCCAAATCTAGAAAAGTGCTAAGTGGCTCTGGGAAAAAACAGAGAAGAAAATGGAACAAAAGTTAAGGGGTCCACTAACAAAAACGTTTGTGCTATCAACTTGCCTGTGCTTGTGGATAGACAGAGTGAGGGAGATATGAAACTCTGATGACATCACAGAAATGCAAAGGAAAATAGGCCATCAAAACCTTGAAAAAACAGGGAAATCAAGTAATCACCGGGCCCTGGCTTTGTTGTCTGATTAAGTGATTATCTTTCTTTATAAGCACAGGTGCTTTCTTTTAAACTACCTCGGGTAGAATCTTCTTTATTATGAGCACTTAATTTTACTTTCAGCTCATCTTTTTCTCTAAATAAAGGATGCCAGAGGCTCCTAGTGATATCCATTGATTAGGACAATATAGTAGTCAAAAAGGACTCTCATCAGCTCCAATTTGAGGTTTAAGCATATGGTGTTTCAATCAAAAAAGAAAAAAATTGTAATAAACTCAAAGCTAAAGCTGCTTTCTTCAATTTGTCCCACAGCATCTTCAACCCAAAAAGGCAAATAATTCTCAAGATCATTGCAGAATTGTATGTTACAACTAGTATTTTACTCAGTACCCCACTGAGACACAAAGCTCAGAGAATCATGAACAGCAGCTTCTAAACTTAAAGAACCTGCAATCTCTTGGAGGTTATAAAAACAGTATATACCAACCCTTCACTGCAATCTACAAGACGCAATAAGGAATCTCTTTTGACAAACATGGGAAAAGAATAAAAGTGGGGTTGTTGAAAGTTCCCATCAAAGGCAGATCAACTCTCTTAATTAATGAAAATTAAACATCAGTGGAACTGAAAATGCTTCAAAACTGTTTTTAATGACAGTTAAGCACTCACGCTAGGTCCATTAAACAATAATTAAAGATGCAGACTACGTACAGATAAGATAACCCTATACTCATTTATTAAAAAGGGTGCATGTAACAAAAACAAAAACAAATTCACAGAATCCTGGCCACAATTTGCAGATGTTAAGCATGAAAATGCTTGATTTCAACAAAATAGAACAGTTATACATGATTACAATGGTAAATGTCTAGGATGTTATTTCAATGGAAAAGTGATGACTGAGGATTATGCTGAAGCTTCACAATCTCAGATGCATTTCACACTTTCATTGAAAGAGTTACAGATTTTTTTTTTTCACTTCAGAATCCAAATACTCTTCTTATTCTACAGGGAAAGAGAACAGAATTTATACCAAAAGCTCAGCTTGATCAAATTTACCCAGATCTAATTCTCTTCTGACTAGCTTTTCCATCAGATTTGAATGTCCCAGCTGAATCGCCTTCTGATGAAGCATCCATTGACCTGGTGAAGGAGCTCGAGAGATCAGCATAGAGATCAACTACTCTTCTAATATTATTATTCAACTCTCTAATTAATCCCACGTTCCGGCTCAAGTTATCAGGGATCTTTGACTCATGGTTTTGGTTAATCTCGTTGATTAGCAACCTATTTTGATCTAAGATGTCTTGAACTTGTACAAAACTCTTTTGAAATGTCTGCAAAACCTTGCCATCTACTTGAGTTCCATTTCCAAATCCTGAAAATATATCGCCTTCCATTCCAAACTTACTTCACTTCAATCAGAACCAGACTTATTCCTGCAACAACAATAGTGCACATCCAAATTAGAAAAGAGGAAAAAAGGATAAAGGTTCTGATGGCACTCATCATTTCTTTATCTCATCTCTGTTTACTCCTAAGAGACAAAATGAAACAATATAAATGCAACATGGATGGAAAGGCAGGGAACAATTTAGCCTCATATTTGGTTGCTGAAGAATATGAATGCGAAAGGAAGATAAACACAATTTTCAACCCCTTAACTTTATAATTTGGATTATGGGAAGCAGAAAATCTCACCAAAGTTAGTTAAGTCAAAGAGTTTAACGGGTTTAGCTTGGTTAAAATCAGTGCTAAAAGATTTTCCTTTACCTTTCTCCACCTTTTCTGAGCAACCAAGCAGAGGACTGGGAGTGTATGCATAAAAGACAATGTATTAAGCGCAAAAAAACAGACATTGGTATTGTTTTGTGTCAAAAAAAAGCAGACTCCTTTGCCCATAAAAGCAAACTTTTTTCCTAATATCTTCCAAAAAAAAAAACAATCCCAAGTTCTCATTTTAAGAGACCCCAACAAAATCATTCACCTAAATCTAAAAAGATATTATTAAAATAACACATGAGACAAAGGAAAAAGGAAAAACCAAACCTTGGTGTAGAAAAGGGAAGGGAAGGAACTAGGAAACAATTTTTTTATTGCTGTTGTTTCCAATATATAGTTATAAAGAGATATCCCTCAAAACAATGAAAAGAAAAAAAAAATGAAAACTTAAAAGCAGGTAAGATATAGTACATGAGCAAAAAAGGGGATTAATTACCTTAATTACCATCAAAACAAAATAAATATAGTAAAACAAATTCTGGGTTGATATGCATTTTCCATTTCTTACCTTGAAACAACAAGACATGTCTAGGGACAAGACAAAGGGGAAAAGCAACAGAATTGGAATCTCTTTCTCCGAAAAAAATTATGGGATTTTGATTTCAATTTACTTTTCCTCAAGAAAAGGAAGAAGATATGAGTAGTTTTAAAAGGATTGGAATGGAATCTTCTATTGCTTCTGGAGATGGCTGAGAAAGAGAGAGATTAGATTCAACAGAGAGGCCCTGAAATCATAAACCAACAAACAGAGAGAGAGAGAATATAAGAAGGAAGATTTGATTGCCACGCACAGAGAGACACAACTATAACGTTGTTGTTGGTTTCTCTCTCTAGACTTTTTAAGAGAGGGCAAGCAAGGCAAAGGCAGAGATATTTCTCTCTTTTCTTCTTTTTTCTTTTTTCTCTCAAGCTCTCTTTCTTCTTTACCTAGTCCTCCCTCCTCGTTTACTTCACCTGCTGCAGTACTTTTAATTTTTGCCCGCTTCCGTTCATTGATTGTGTTGCGTCTGTTTTGGGATGCCGAGGTTTTATACCCTACGAATTTGGCCACACTTGTTTTCCTGGGATGCGGATGCTTGGAGCTGTTTTCGGCTACATCTTCACCGTTCGTTTAGATTTCAGAGGGTTGTTTAGCCGTTAGATAAGATATTGCGGGGTGACTATGATATTATCAAGTACCAATGCATAATTTGTTAATTTGTTCTAATTTTTATGGTCGCACTTTATTTTGAAGTAGATGCAATCTAATAATGAAATAATTTTTAAACAATTTAAAAATAAAAAAATAATTATATTTTGTGTCTAATCAAAGATAATGTCCAATAAATATCGTCAATTTTAACAATTTTCCATAACAATATTACCCACTTGAGTAAATACATTTAAAGATATTAAAACAATAATATAAAAAGAATTCCGTTTTTTATTTTTCCAAAGTTATGGGTATTAACAAGTCTGGGCTCATTTATGAAAAATAAAGGCCCATTAAAGTTCAGCCCGAAGTCGGCCCATGATACCTCTAATGAGAAGACATATTATCATAAATGGAGAAAGCCCAATTACTTTTAATTCTTTTGATCGACATGGGCCGGCCTACCTCCTCCATTTTTCTCTCCCTCCGTTTACTTTCAGCAATTTTTCAGTTTATCCAACTTCCTTCTTATAGCTCTGTGTGCCCGTGCCTCTCCGTCCAACCTCTCTTCCTGCTCGCCGTCTCCGGCGAACACAACCCCAGCCAACGGTGGTTTTTCTTTTCTCTTCTTATTATTCTTTCGTCAATGTGAAACAGCGCTTTATCTCTCAAGACTTCAAAGCAACCTCGTTTCAAAATTTCTCTCTCAACGGACGAAATTAAAGAAAGAATTTGATGGAACCGATACCACCATAGACCAAAAATGGACTCGATTATCACCTCAGCTCTCGAAGAAATCTGCTTCCACGGCCAAGGAGGCATTTCTCTTTCTTCTCTTTGCTCCAAACTCGACATCCCTCCTCCTCTCATATCCCCCCTTTGGAAAAACCTCCTCTCCATTCCCACTCTTCGTTTCAAGGCACGAAACGCCGAGTTTCTTAGCCCTAGCGATGACTCGATTCAATGCGCCGAAGACGCCGAGAAATTGGAAATTAAAATCTTAGCCGATGAAAAGCTTAGAAATAATTTCGTTGGACTTTACGATGAAAATGTTCAAATTTCCTCGCAGCAACGTCGCACTCTTGAGAGGCTTGCTATAGCTAGGTTTGCTTTCGTTAATTATCTAGATTTTTTATTCAAAATTTTTGAAGTTATTTGTGTTATTTTGTGATGAATTGCGAGAATGGCGCTAAAATTTTCTTATTCCTGGGTTAGTAAAACAATTTTGCATTCAAATTGTGTACGCCAAACTAATAATTATGCAGATTGTTCTGATTAATTGCGGAGGAACTTAAAGTCAGTGTATTGCAACTTCATATACACATTTTGATAATTTGCCATGTAATTCGTAGGTGGTTGTTCTGATTGTTAAATAATACAATTAATGGGTAAGTATAGCATGTGAATAATTGATCAAGTGACGGGAAGGCTGGTAATTGCGGGAAATACACGGACAGACATATTTACTTGTCATGGACTTTACAAGTTGTTATTGAATTAGGGCTTAGGATATCATGGTTAGAAAATAAGACTGGTAGGTTAATTTGGTTGGTGAAATCTTAAGTGTCATTGTCTTTTTTCTGGAACCACAATTCTAGCAAAGATTAAGTGAAATAGGTTATTAACAGATGGTACTTGCAGAACAAATGGAGTGACACAAAGTCAGCTTGCCAAGGAATTTGGAATTGAAGGGAAGAACTTCTTTTATATATTGAAGAACCTTGAATGCAGAGGGTTGATTGTGAAGCAACCGGCAGTGGTTAGGAAGAAAGAACCTTGCACTGAAGGGGAGTCCAGAAACAGTTCACCTGTGACGACCAATTTGATATACCTATATCGATATGCAAAGCGTTTGGGCTCTCAACAGAGATTTGAGATTAACAAAGAGGAACAAACTGTGGAGAATCTTGGGTATGAGGATGAAAATGTTCCAGATGAAGATGGTTTTGCTTTAGAAAATGTTAAAGAGAATATTCTCGTGAATGATTATCTACCAGCAATGAAAGCAGTTTGTGATAAACTTGAAGAAGCCAATGGAAAGGTCAATTATGTTCAGAATGTTGTTAAATTCGTGGATTTGATTTTATGCCATTGTGCTGATTTTCCTTCTTTTGAAGGTTCTTGTTGTCTCAGATATTAAACGGGACCTGGGTTATACGAGATCCTCAGGCCACAAAGCCTGGAGAAATGTAAGACTGCTGTCTTCACTTCTTTCTTCTCTCTCTCTCTTTCCTCCCTGTGAAAGGGATGGGGGAGGGGGCGAGGGGGCTCATAGTAATTTCTATCTAGACCACATTTTGCTCTTTTTTGATGGTTTTTTGGATTTGTGTTCCTCATACCATGTCCTTCATATATGTTCCCAGATCTATCGCAGGTTAAAAGAGGCTGGTCTCGTTGAGGATTTGCAAGCTGTTGTGAACGAAAAGGTGATGTAAACGTTTAGTTCTTACTTCATGCTCTTGCAAGACTTCAAAATGACTTTTTTTTCTTTCACCTGAATATGAATCCCAAGAAAAGAGTTGTATTGATGGGTTTACACCTTGTGAGGATTTTTAAAAGGATATTATCGCAAACTCTTCTTCCTCTTTTTTTTTTTTTTTTTCTATTAAAATTTGTCTATACTTATATCATCAAATACTCAACTTGGCTAATGTAAGTTTCAAACCTAAAGTAGGGCAGATGGTTAAATGAATTTGGCTCTATTCTCTAACAGGTAAGGAGCTGCTGAATCCTTCTTTACTACAACTTTGTGCTTGCTTTATTCTATTTTTTCAGCTTCTATTCCTGCTTATATATTCCCTAATTAGCTGATATTCACGACTTTAATCAATGTAGCAGGCCATACTAAGCACTTACACATCTTTTATGAAGAATGATTTGTTTTCCTTTAACACAAAACGTAAGATCACTTTGAAGCAAGTTTTTCATGCCTTTGGTTATTCTTTCTAGCCCTATATTGCTAATACAGGTGGTTGTAGTCAATAGTTCCATATAAGATCACGCAAAAATTCCAGATTACATTATATGGGCGTAATTCTGTCTGCTTCTGCACAAGTGCTTGTTTATGTTGTAATATGTTTCTATTTTCTTCAGGTTGAGCTTTGCCTGCGGTTAGTGAAAAGGTTTTCTAAAAAGAATTTTGAGCCAAAACTTCTTGGGTTTGACGATCATCTTGACAAAGGGCAACAGCTAAAGTTTGGAAGGACGCTTCCAAATGTTGACCAGATCGTAGAGCTTCCGATTGATAATCAAATTTATGATATGGTTGATGCTGAAGGATCTGAGGGTTTGCCTGCTATGACGGTGTGCATATATTTTCTTGACTTTGCTTTATTATATCGGTGTTGATCTTAATAGTTATGATGCTGTGTTTTCGTGAGATAGTTCCTCAATAATTTGTTGCAAATTGAAGATTGAGTCTTCAAATGTAAATCAAGGCTTGTAGAAATTTACTAATCATGCTTTATTGTGTCATGAATTTGAATATGTAATGCACGATGTTAATGGATTGAAAAAAAATAAGCATACTTGTTATTCAATCAAGTCTTAGCAATTCCTACAGCTTGTTCCTTTTGCAGCCTTAGTTGAAGACATTCACTTCAATATATGGTTGTCACCTAGTTCAACTGTGTCAAGATTCTTTCTTCCATCAGGGAATTGATCAGCTGTAGCTTTGCACTCAACTTAATTGTAGTATTGTCATGTTGGATGATACATGGATGATTGAATCTCTTGAAATGCATGTATATTATGTGTGACATGCTTGTCGTTGTGGCCAGTCCTCTACTGCTCGTTTGTCCAAAAGAAGTAAAAAATGAATTATTTACTCCCTGACACCCTCAATCCCAAAATGCATGCTGTTTTCAATGTACCACACCCTCTGATGTATGCCTGAATAATGCTGTAACTGGCAGAGAGCACTAATTGTCTCTTTTGTAGTTTTATCAGGTTTTGATTAGGCTGCTTTTTGCGCTTTAATCATATTTTTTGTATAGTTATACAATTTTACTTTTCTGTGCCTTTTCAATGGCTGGTTTTCCATGAATTATCCTGCAAAAGCATGTCTTTTGTATCCTAACTGGTAACTTTGCATGTTCATAAGTAGGTGTGTGAGAGGCTTGGGATTGATAAGAAAAGGAGCTATTCTCGATTCTTTAACATGTTCTCTAGGTTTGGGATGCACCTGCAAGCTGAAAGCCATAAAAAGACTACAGCATATCGAGTTTGGACTTCTGGGAATGCTAATCCTAAATCGTCTAATGCATTTTTGATTAAACCAAAAAATCCCCATGATGAAAATGAGATCTCTAATTTTGATGTTGGCAATTCAGAAGTTCCTGATGGATCAAACCAAAACTTTATAGAGGATGATCCTTCAACTTCCGCAGGCAATTTTTCTACTCCTATGAAAGTGAATGATATGGAGAACGGTACTGAAACCGCTTGTGGGTCCTTTGCAGAAACTAATCATATTGTTGTATATTCTGACAACATGCAAGAGTTGCCCACTGAACAAAGTAATACTGCCTTTGATGCAGAACTTGATTTAGTGAGTGCAGAGAGTGAAATACATCCTACTCCACCAAAATCAACCTGTTGTGCTTTGTTGAAGCCTCCTGATTCTGGCTCACGTCAGAGATATGCATGTCAAGTTCTTACTGCTGATGGTGCTCGAAGAGAGCAGAGGATACTCGAACGTTTGCAGGTATTTGCTTTAATGCCAAGCACTTGCCTGAAGGCTTATACTGGGAAAATAACATCGTTTCCCATCTTTATATTAATAATTCTAGAGATACAAACATTATTCTAATTTCTTATGCAGGATGAGAAGTTCATATTAAGACCTGAATTGTATCGATGGCTTGTGGAACTTGAGAAGGACAAGAGCACAAAAATGGACAGGAAGACAGTTGATCGAATGCTAAAGAAGCTTCAGCAACAAGGGCACTGCAAATGCATACACATCAATGTGCCTGTTGTCACGAACTGTGGGCGAAGCCGTATTACTCAGGTGGTTCTGCACCCATCTGTTGAAAGTTTACATCCAGAGTTGCTTAGCGAAATTCATGACAGATTGAGATCATTTGAAATGCAAATTCGTGGCCATGGATCATCTAAGTGGAAAAACAATGATACAGTAGCTGTATTAGATGGTGTCCAGAGAACTCAGAGCCATGTTATTTCAGATGCCAAAGCTTCTAAGTCAGAAGCTATGCGTGCTAATGGTTTTGTGATGGCAAAAATGGTTCGCTCAAAGCTGCTACATGGTTTTTTATGGGGTTTCTTGCATAGTTCTCATGGATGGAATGGTGCCTTATCACTTGAGAAACACCTGCTTGATCAGAAAAATCTTCATGGCTCATGCATTTTGTTTTCATTGGAAGCAGCCATCAAGGCCATTCCTCTTGAACTTTTCTTGCAAATTGTGGGAACTACTCTAAAGTTTGATGATATGATTGAGAAGTGTAAGAAAGGCTTTTGTCTTTCTGATCTTCCCATTCATGAGTATAAGCTTCTAATGGATACTCAGGCAACTGGAAGACTTTCATTGCTCATTGACATCCTACGGCGCTTGAAGGTATAATTACTCGGCCAGATTTCCAGTAGGATCATTATGTAATAGTAATTCATTCTTCTGGAAACTATTGTGCATTTCCTTCATTAATGTGGTTCACCATACTCTCTCTTTGGAGATACCGTAGCTGCTTTTCTAGAACATGAATACTCTGTGTCATATTCTACCCTATTATGTAGTTGACTATTAGTGGCATTGTTGTAATACAATGATGGCTATTTTAAGCTATTGGTGCTCCATTGAATGTGAACTTTAGCATTTGACTTTTAGATATACAAGCCACAGATATTTTCTTGCCTTCTATAGGAAATATGATGCTAGCTGCTCTAGAGGACTGCTTTTTCTTATAATCATTACATGAATGTGGTTAATTGTTATATTAGTTGAATATGTACTTGAAAAATTGCCTTATTTAATGTCTTTTGCCATGGTAGTTGTCTCTGTGAATGTAGGTTACGAGGAATATAATGATAGGAAAATTTGATAGGCATTAGCAGAATTCAGATTTGAATCTGTTTATATATAAAGGATTTATGCTGACATCCAATCTGAGCAGTCTTATATGAATTTAAATTCAATCAATAAGTTGCATCCAATTTTATTTTAGTTGCTGGAAAAGAAAGATCGAATATGCTTCATAATATCTTGTTAGAATGTGAAATACTGTTAGAGCATCCAAACATTCCTAAATGTATTCATATAATAAGCTTAACTGAAATGTGATAATATTGTGGGATAAATTTTACATAGATTTGGTTTCATTCCAATAAAGCCATGCTATATCAAATTATGATCTGATTTATTTCAATTCAACTAAGCCTTAATCCCAAATTAGTTGGGTTAGTTACATGAATCTGTTCTCACCATACAGCTTGATCTAAGGTGATATGATTGAAAGAAAAAAATGTTTCACTTGGTAGTTGGTTAAACCATCTAAGTTGTCCTCCTATTTTGTCCTTAATCCATCTTGCCTTCATTATCATTTATGATTTGATCTGTTGCACAAAATTAGGACAGTCTTTTAAGGAGCATACCTGGTGATTGGTATATTTCTTTGAAAATTGGAATTGTTAGTTCAGTATAGATTCTTTTTTTATTGATTTCTCTCTATAGTCCTGCTTTATTTTGGCTGACAATTTATTTGATGATGTAGTTGATTCGGCTGGTGCCATGTGAATGTTCGGATAACAGAGTAAAGGTACCACATGCCAATTTGACTCATGCTATGGAGTTTAAACCTTACATAGAGGAACCACTGTCATTGGTTGCCACATCTACTTTTAGATCTTTTGATCTTCGTCCTAGAATCAGGCATGATTTTATCTTGTCAAGTAAAGAAGCTGTTGATGACTATTGGAAAACTTTGGAATATTGTTATGCAGCTGCTGATCCAAGAGCTGCCTTGCATGCATTCCCCGGATCTGCTGTTCACGAGGTATGCACTAGACAGATCCATGTAGACTAACATGTGTGGTTAGCTATTGAAGAAATAAAAATGGTTAACAATTTAAAATCTTAGTTGAAAGAATAGATTGTAAGAATAGGAGACATTGACTCTTAAAGAAAAATTGAAGAAATGTAGAGAATGTGGAAGGGATTCTTACCAGATTAGATTAGGCTTCAACTCATTTTTAAAATTTACAGTGAGAAACCTAGTCGATTTGAGACTAAGTTAAGTTTCCACTTTAGGTATCACTGCATGTGTGTATTATAATTTTTGTCGATGATTTAAAATTTCCCCTTTCTAAGCTTAGTTAAATTGCTGGCATGGGTTATAAGCCTTTTGTTTAATAACTTTGTGTCATTGTAGGTTATATAAACTGTTGCTTGCTCTGTAACCATTGTAATTGCCTACTATGTGAAATGTAAAAAGGCTCTCAGAAAGTGGTTATTGCAGGTCTTCCTTAACAGGTCATGGGCCTCAGTTCGAGTTATGACAGCTGATCAGCGTGCTCAGCTTCTAAAGCGAATTTTGAAGGATAATATAAATGAAAAGCTTTCATATAAAGACTGCGAAAAGATTGCAAAGGATCTTAATCTGACCTTAGAGCAGGTTAGATTTTATTTTGCTCTAATGTTATAAGATTTCCTCCCCATTCCCTTCTTGTGACCAATCAGTTGTAACATTTTGTATGCTTTAAACAGAATCAATTCCTATATTCCATTATTTTTCCTTTTATCTCACACTTTTTTCTGGTTTTGGTTGGAATGATACATGGTGTCCTTTGATTTCTACAACAGGTGCTTCGTGTGTATTATGATAAGCACCAAAAACGTCTTAATAGATTTCTGGGTCTTCCAAATAGCATTGAGGACCAGCATCAATTAGAAAGAAATAAACGGTCCTCTGCTCGGAAAAGAAAGAGATCTTCAAAGATGGCATTGGTGGAGAGTACAAGAGTTGATACAAGAACCATACAAATGGACGAACAGGAAGTTGCTGCAATACCTGATAGTAGTGATGGATTCACCATGAAAGAAAACGATTCTTTAGCTTCTTCAGTAGGACCTGAGGTCTTGCAAGCACATCAGGAAGCTGATCATGTTGAAGCTGTGAACAAGCCAGGATCACTTGAAGAAGATGACGATTGTTATTCCTTAATTAGCCAGTATGCCTTTCCAAAAATGAAGCCTACACGTAAGAAAAGATTCTCATGGACAGATGAAGCAGACAGGTAAACAGTAGTAATATATTTTATAGACTGTGGAAATCCACCAGGAGAATATCTCTGTGGTTAACAACTTGAATAGAAAGTGGACATAGGAAGGATGGCCAATTTTGGTCCATGTGTAACTTATATCCATCTAATGATGCTTGGCTAGCAGGAACTTAGTTGACTTATAAAATGGGTTGATAACTACATCATTCGGGGGGTAATTTCAGGATCTTCATTTATTGCTTCTGTTTAACATTTTTATATGTGCAGTTACTGGTTGCCTATTAGGTCAACTTGATGATAGATATTAAGTCATGTGACTGAGAAGAGGAAGGTGTTAACAGTATATTTTGTTAATTGCTTAGGGTACATTATTGTTCCTTGAGTTTCACATCAATATCTTCTTTGCAGGGAATTGGTAACCCAATATGCAAGATACCGGGCTGCTCTAGGGGCAAAATTTCACCGTGTAGATTGGACTTCAATTGCTGGCCTTCCAGCACCTCCTCGTGCTTGTGCAAGAAGAATGACATCCCTTAAAAGAAGTATAAAATTTAGGAAAGCATTAATGAAACTATGCAATATGCTTAGTGAACGGTATGTGACGCATCTTGAGAAAAATCAAAATAGGGCATTCAACTATAATGATTGCAGATTTCTTGTCCGATCTTCATCAGTTGAGTTCTCCAGTGGCATTGAACATGGTGAAGATGCAGGCTTTGAGGAAGAAAGATGGGATGATTTTGATGACCGAAAGATAAGGAGGGCTCTGGAGGATGTTCTTCGGTTTAAACAGATTGCTAAATTGGAGGACTCTAAAAGGGTTGGATCTGTATCTGCTGAGTGGTCGAATATGAACATGAATTCAGAGGATTATGTAATTCCTGATCCATCTTTAGGGCTAACATCTTTTATGTTCTATTCCACTAATGCTCCCAACATTTCATAATATTTATTGCAGTTGAAAAGGTTTTATTGAATTTCCATCAACATGAAGTGTTTCCCAGTGTTTGGTAGATTATAATTATCTTGCTTTAAAGTACTCTTGGAAGCTGGATAGCTGAAATTGTTGTGTTTTTTTTTGTCTGCTAGCAGAATCTACAGGGACCTGAAATGGTTTCACAAACTACCCTAGGTGAGGATATGGGGACTGGCGCTGGGCAACTTAAAGGCTCTATTCAAAGCTCAAGACACCATCGCTTTCATCAAAAGTTAGTTAAGCTTTGGAATATCGGAAATGGTGTTGGCAGACATGTACATGAATCTTTGGCTGTTTCTAATGCTGTTGAACTATTTAAGCTTGTTTTCCTGAGCACATCTACAGCAGCACCATTTCCAAATTTGCTGGCAGAAACTTTGCGGCGTTATTCAGAGCATGATCTTTTTGCAGCTTTTAGCTACCTCAGAGATAGAAAAATTATGGTAAATAGCAGTATCTTTTTCCTTTGTTTTTAAGTTGTTGGAATCTATGCAATTTGCATGGAAGTGTTGCTGTTTCTGGACTTAGGTCAAAGAGCGATTTTTTCATACCGTGGAATAAGATGCATAAGGATGCAATGAACATCTGCACTCATCAATTTCTGTAGAGTTATGCTTCATTTCAGTCAAAATCTTCTGATGTTCAAAAAGATATCCTCAGTCTTAGTAGATGGCACTTTTGGCACCATTTTGCTGTTTAAATTTATAGGGCTATACCTCCATCTGTCGCCTGTGGCTCAAGCGGCAAAGCTGGTGAGCAGGGCTGGGTTAGGTTGTATTTTATTTCTTATTAACCGAGTAAAAAGGTGTCATGTTGGTGTGCTGTTTTCTGGTCTGCTTGTCTTTGATGGCAACTGTGGTATTAATAGTTCAACTTTTGCTATTTTGCTCTATATAAAGTGATTGTCTCCTTTTCGCATTGTCAAACTATCTCAGATGACTTTGCCTTGCTTGCCCTTTACTTGGTGCCACCATGCCAGCTTCTTTGAACTGCATTTTTCCGATCTTCTCTCCTCCATGCTGCTACTAACCCAGTTGCACCCCTCTGTTTACCCCTTTTTGAATCTTGACTCTGAATTTCCTTCCAACTTTTGGCAGATTGGCGGTACTTGCGGCCAACCTTTTGTACTTTCTCAACAGTTCTTGCACAGTATTTCTAAGTCTCCATTTCCTCGCAATACAGGAAGGAGAGCAGCTAATTTTTCTGCTTGGCTTCATCAAAGAGAAAAAGATCTTATGCAAGGGGGGATTAATCTTACTGAAGATTTGCAATGTGGTGATATTTTCCATTTATATTCTTTGGTTTCTTCTGGTGAACTTTCTGTTTCCCCATCCTTACCTGATGAAGGTGTTGGAGAAGCTGAAGACTTGAGAAGCTTAAAATGTAGGGGTGAGGATAGTGAATTATGTGATGCTGATAAGGCTAAGAAATTAAAATCCATAGCAGAAGGTGAATTTGTTTCACGACGAGAAAAGGGTTTTCCTGGTATCATGGTATCTGTGTATAGCTCAACAGTTTCCACAGCTAATGCTTTAGAATTGTTTAAGGATGAGGAGACTTGCACCCTTGGATTCAGGAATGATGAAACCCCAAGTCAGAAGGTTAACATTAGTTCAACTAATTCTGACTATATGAAGGAAATGCTTCAGTTTGGAAGTAATGTCATCATAGCCTCCAAGTCTAGTGAGTCACCTTGGGAAGCTATGGCTAGTTATGCTGAGCATCTCTTGTCAAAACCTTCTGATGAAGGGCAAAGCAGTCACTTTTATCCTGAGATCATCAAGGCTGTTTGTGCTGAAATTCAGAAGGCTGGTGACCAAGGTTTGAGCATAGAAGATGTTTATGGTATTGTCAATTTGCCAGGTATTTTATTTTTGGTTGTGTATGGATATGTTTGCACTTGCAATTCCTCTTCATATTTGGGAAAAGATGATATATCTATGTAAATCCCAGTTCATTGAGTGTTTTGAGATGTTCCTCTGCAGGAGAAATGACGCCTGAAATCATCATTGATACACTCCAAGCATTTGGAAGAGCTTTGAAGGTTGTTATAATTACCCATTGGGAATATTAATTCTGTCTAATATGGAATATTTTTCTCAAATATGTATTTGCTCTTTGGCCTTCTTGCCAATGGTGCAAGGGATGGGTTATTGGAACAGGTCTTAAATTATTAATAGTTATGTTCCAGAGTCACACTTGAATAGGCTAAAACAAAAAATTTCGGCAATTCATTTGTATTTGTTTCTGTTGGAAAGCAGTTTTTTGCTCCTTTTGGGAGAAAAGAGGAAGAGAAAAGCATGGCTTGGTAGTTTATACATTGGTCATCAAAGCATTACACACGATTTTTAACTTTTCCATTACCAAACTGTTGTGCACTGATGTAGTGATGGCTTTCATACAGGTCAATGGTTATGAAGCTGTTCGTGTTGTTGATGCTTTATATCATTCTAAGTATTTTCTTGCTTCAAGTTCTTGTTTCCATCAAAATCATAAACCACCTTCATCATTGACATCCCAAGGAAAGGATGATGGCAACTTGATCCTTCAGCAAGGAAATCAGAGTCTTGATACTGCTAACTTATCGGGAAGTGTAACTGTTGGTGATGTGCACAAAGTTACTATTCTTAATCTTCCTGAAGAGCATGCCTTACCTTCGAAGGAAATTCCTACTAGCAATGTGAATGAGAGCTGCATGGCAGGTAAAGTTGGTTCATCAGAAGGGGATAATGAGGATGAAACTTATAAGCCTTCTTTAGGTGAACCATTGGTGCCTATATTGCCTTGGATAAATGCAGATGGGACCATCAACAGGATGGTCTACAATGGACTTATCCGCCGTGTTCTTGGTATTGTCATGCAAAATCCTGGGATATCAGAGGTACAGACTTTTCTGCAGACAATTCTGTTCCTGATTTTTAGAACTTTTAATTTCACAAAAAGAGGAATATCATGGTCTTTTGAAAGCAAGTAATGAACAAGAATTTCTGCATTTGAAGTGATTTGACTGACTTTTTAGAACTTTTAATTTACAAAAAGGGGACCTTTTCAACACATTCAGCAAACTGTTTTAAATTGCGTAAGAACTTTGGATAGTTTTTGCTAGTCACGAATTCAGTTTGGTTTAGTTCATGTTTAGAAAAATTTTGAACCGAATTGAAATATTCGATTTCTAAATTGTAAAACTATACCAATTTGAAATTTAACAGTTTGGTTTGATAAGGTATTTCTCAGTTTTTTTAAATTTTGAAATGGCTTTCAAATTTGCAATGATTATTTTGAGCCTATCATTTTGAATTCTTTTTTTAAAAGATAAGGACAATTTCAAATTTTAGACTGGATAAATTAAACATTTAAATGAATGATAACTTCAATTCGGTTTTGGTTTGGACTAATTCAGACATTAAATAACAAAACTTGAAATGAAAACTAAACTGATTGGTTTTTGTCATTGTTGAATCAAAGCCAAAAGAAGATTCAAAGAGTCAATTTGTTTTGGTTTTTTCTTTCAAATTTAAACTATCCTGTTGCACAATCCCACTTATGGGTGCTTTGCCCAGTGCTTGGGTAAGACTTTCATTCGTGGTAGTTTGGTTTGTCAAGGTGAAGTATTAACAAAATGTGTTTTTTTCATATGCGTTTCTGACTTTCTTTTTCTTTTTCCTGTCCAATCGTTGAATCAGGAGGATATTATCTGCCGAATGGATGTGTTAAACCCCCAGGTATGCTGTTGTACTTTCCTTTTCTTGAGGGTGAAGATGGAAGTTTGTAGCCTTTAGGCTGAATGTCTTGCATCAAGCCTGATGGCTAGGATGGGCCAAATGCTTAATTGATATCATCATATAATAAATGAATTAGGTGTTTGGAAAAAAATATTCTGCACAGTTTTATCTGACTTTTTTCTGCCTGTAACTCACAAATGTGAATGATGAGAACTAGGAAGTGCCAACACAGAGCCGCAATATTGTTCTTTTCTTGTTTTTCTTTTTCATACTTGCTAGATAAGTTACCAAGTCATAGTCTCAGTAAAGTAGGATCCTAGGACGGATACTGTCCCCCAACACACACAAAAAAAGGGGAGAAAGAAAAGGAAAATATAATGAGAAAATAGTAAAAATTTATAGATATATAAATGTGCTCATTTATCTGTTAATGGTGTAACGAGTCCATTCTGGTATGCTTAAAACCGGTAGTTTTTACCTCGTTATGCTTATCTACTGATTTAACCTACTTTTTGACTTGAATTCTCTCTGATGTGCATCTCTAAATTTTCTGTAGAGCTGTAGAAAGTTGCTGGAATTAATGATATGGGACAAACACCTCATGGTGAAGAAGATGCTTCAAATGACAGATAGTGGTCCTCCTGCCCTTTTGGCGACCCTTCTTGGGAATAGCTGTAGAAAATCAAAGTTGGTATTTCGCAAACATTTCTTTGGAAATCCTACAAGTACATTTTTGCTGTAGGAATGCTGTTTTTGTTTTGTGTAAATATTATATACCATAGGTCCAGAGCTGCAGTTAGAAGCTGCAATTTTGTTTGCTTGTCATCCCATTGAAGCAGCTGCACTCTAAACAATGCTGAATAGGAGTAACTCATCTTGAATCTACAAGTTATATACTGGTAACTCATCTTGAATCTACAAGTTATATACTGAATAGAGATATTAGCGTCAGCTGGGAATTTGTGTACAACTACGTTTATGCCGTTGTTCTTGTTTACAGATAGTATGTAGGCTACATTGTTGACTATGCAGGGAAAAGATTGCAATCAATATGGCATATCTCATAAGCTTGCAATGGCATGGAGTTGTCAGCAGTGTCCCAACCTTTAGCAAGCTATATATGTGGGTATTAAAGGCATTGTTTGTCAAACCTGCATAACAGTGCCTTTTTGCACTTCTGCTTCTCCTCTCTCTTTCTCTCTCTCCAGTTAGCTACTGTTGATGCTCTAACTTTCTATTGCTGGAAAGCCATTATTGTTAGTGAAGTCAAGTATATGTCATTGCGTGGAAAAGGGCATAGGAATTGCCGTGAGATTACTTGTTTACAAGGAAGGAATCTTCCAAGCGTACGAACCGAAGCATAAATGAGACTTTCAAGTACTCTTGATGTTTAGTCCAGGGCACTTGACCTGTGAACTTTTTAGTAGATGCTAGTGATTTCCCTTGAACTTTTAACTTTTCCCTAGGAGGGAGCATTTTTGCTTACAATTCTCTAATCATATAGATTCATCATTTTATAATTGTGAGTTTTACATAATATTTTGATCCACTTTGCACAATTCAAGATTGTGGGGGCAAAAGAGAAATCGTTGCATGCAGTGGTGATGTTGGCATGGATTTTGTTGGTGTAATCACATCCAGACTGTTAACTTGGGGACCAACCGCTTGATCATGAGTTGGTCTCGTCAGAGTGTCGAATGCAGATTGCTATTTGTTAAAAAGCAAGAGAATGAAAAACAAAACACCATTTATAACAATAGAAGTATCTTCAACAGTTCACTTATTTAACCATTCGGCTTTAAAAGGTATTGGGTGGCATGTGTATAATCATTGACAACGCATGGATAACAATCATTTGCTTTTTAATGCAAACTGTTTGTTTTGAAATATTATAAATAATCCATAAAAAAGAAGGAGTCGAGAGAGAGCTTTGAAGGAAAATTCCCCAAAAGTAGAACAATGCAGGAGAATTGATGCACCCGCGTCCATATTTTTCAGCGATGGTTTAGAGTGTTCAAAGTCAAGTAACAAACAAAACCTGCAAGCGAGCTGCAACAGCTGAAGGTTTGTTTCAAATGCTGCTGGCATAAAATAAAGTATGAAGCTCAATGAGCTCTGCATTGCTGTTGGAAAAAGCTTGTACAAGCCAACGACTGTAGCATCAGATTCAGAATCAGCATTAAAAGAAGTGTTTCTCCATCAACAAAGTTCAGAAAATTCAGAATCGCTCAGCCCCTTCTCGATAAGACAATAGGAAAGAAAGAAAGAAAAGGAAATACTATGTTTTCTTTCTTCTTCTTTTTTTAATTTTTTTTAATTTTTTAGTTTTTTGGTTTTAAGCTTGAAAGGAGTGAGCAGTGAAAGACAGTGAGATGATGCAAAAGTTCCATAAAAACGACGGGCCTAGATACCTAGTCCCTGTGTAGATTGTTGAGTGTGTCGACAGACACAAAAACTCGGGTACTTAAGTACTTTGCTGTTGCTCAATCTAACCAAGCCACATGTTTTTGACTTCTGACTTCTTCTGCCAACTAGATTCCACACGTGCCAACCCAACAATTCCCAAGCCCCCAAGCCCCTTCTGCTGACGTGTACGGTCCAGATTCCCCCTCTTCAAACGTCCTTTCTCTAATAAAACTCTCCTGCAAATTTCACCTCTAAAAAAATTAAAAAAGAAAAACCAAAATTCGGACTCCACCATGGATTAGCAATTCGATCAGAAATTCGCCCTAAAAGAAAAAAGAAAGAAAGAAAAAATAAAAGAAAAAGAACAGAGCATGGCTGAAACTGCATCTTCATCAGCCTCACCGAATCCCATGATGATGGACCCATCATCATCAACAGCGACACCGCCATCATCATCGGCGACGACAAATATTAACCCAACACCAACACCACCACCTCCGTCGGCAACGGCAACAACTACGTTAACACAAACTCCCTCAATTCTTCCTCAAAGTAACAACCCTTCTCCTCAAATCCCTCCTCCTTCGCCTGCCATTGAACCCTCACTGCAAAATCCGCAGCAAAATTTACAGCGACAACAGCACCAGCACCAGCAGCAACAGCAAATCTCGCAAATTTCGTCTCCACCTCTCCCTTCTCTTTCCCAACAACAACAACAACTTTTACAACAGCAACAAACGCAACAAAATGTTGCAGCTTTATCCAATTTCCAAATCCAACACACCCTTCAGAGATCCCCATCTTTTTCACGCCTTAACCAACTCCAACAACAACAACAGCAGCAAAGCCAGCAGCAGCAACAACAGCAACAGTCTCAGTACGGCACCGTTTTAAGACAACAAGCAGGGTTATATGGGCAAATGAATTTTGGTGGTTCAGCTTCAATTCAAGCTAACCAGCAACAGAACCAGCAGATTCAACAGATGGGCAATCCCAATTTATCAAGGTCAGCTTTGATTGGGCAAAGTGGTCATTTGCCTATGCTCAGTGGTGCAGCTGCAGCTGCTGCTGCTCAGTTTAGTTTGCAGCCTCAGCTTTTAGCTTCGGTAAGAATCTTTTTCGATTCGCTTTGGGGAAAAAATTGGATTTTCTAGCTTTTAAAGGCATTTCCTTTTGTTGATTTTACTGTTTGGAAGTATAATTTTTAATGAATTTGTTTTTGAAATCATCATAACTATAGTTTTTTTGTGCTTTTTTTCTTCCTTTTAGATTGAGAGTGGGGAGGTTGTTTAAAATTATGTAATTGCAACTTTGATTATTAGTTTGGGAGTGAAATGAATGAGTTGGTGCTTGCTTTGATGATTTGTATTTTTTAAAAAATATTTTCTTCATTTTGGATATAAGTTTTTTATATTGATTTAATCTTGTAGAAGTAACGAGTTACTAAAAGAATTAATATCTCAGAACAACTCCAGGGGTTTATGCAGTGTGACCTGAATAAATTTTTTGTGATAAATTGTGATTTCAAGGTGCAATCTGCAATTTTTAAGTGTTATTTGTCTCCTTTCTTCTTTTTCCTTCCCGTTGTGTTGGGGGGCATCGGGGAATTTGAGTGGGATTCTGCATTTTAATAAATGATTTAGGTAAGTCAAAATTTTGTACTTGAGATCTTACTGTTAGCTAGAGTTGGAATTCATTAATGATCGATGATGTTTCTATTTATTTCCAAAAGATAGTCTTTACCTAGTTTTTTTGAAAGTTTATTCTTTACCTAGTTGATGGTTATTGTTGGTCAGTGTCTTCATAAGTCAAGTATAATTGGTACTTATGGATTACTTTCCTTGCTTTTTTAAAAGTAACAATTGCATTGTTCTGCTCCTTAAGCATTCTGGAGTTATTAAAGGATATATTTTTTCCGATATCCTTTCTTGCTCCAGAGCAATTTTAATGGTATTAATAATCTGATTATTGCAGAACAGATTTCTAGTTCGGGCTTGATAGATAATGTTTCTAACTAATTTTATTTTCCTTGTTTATAGAAATGATTATTCTATTCTAAATTCATTTGAGGTTTTTGATGTAGCCGAGGCAGAAGGCTGGCTTGGTTCAAGGGTCTCAGTTTCATCCAGGAAACCCTGCTGGGCAATCTTTGCAAGGGATGCAGGCAATGGGGATGATGAATTTGAGCTCACAACTGAGGCCTAATGGAAATCTTTATGCTCAACAGCGGATAAATCAGGGACAGATGAGGCAGCAATTATCGCAGCAAACTCAACTCACATCTCCTCAGGTATTGTATCTTCTGAGACTGCTGTACTGAGCTCTTTCCCTCAATGGATTTTGTGAACTAAACACTTTTTCTCTTCAATCTTTGTTCTGTTTTAATTGTTTAATTTGAGAAATCATTGTCTGTGTTGGAGGAATTTTTCTAGTTTATCTATGAGTATAGATGTTAAAGTTTGCATTAATATAGAAGTTACTTTTTGTTTTGGTGGACTCTTTAAGCTATGATGCAATTTCAGGACTTCATTTCCACTGATGCCAAATTCGAACAACTAGAGTTCTTTTACATTGCAATGCTCTTTAGTTTTCGGTGAACATAAGTTTACTATGCTTTGGCTTATGTCTGATCGGACTAGATCAAGAAAAGTTTTAATTATGTATTGTTATAGTTGGTAATGTGCTGCGTTAGGTTGTATATTCTTTCTGTAGTATGTATAGATTAATACCTAATAAGTGAAATGGAAATTATATATCTCCTTGAATGCACTATGGAAACAATTTTTTGTGGTTATTCCAAGCTGGGTTTAGCTAACTGTTAGTTAAGTGCAATGAGTACTGTTAATAATTATTAACTTTATTTAACATCTTGTGCAAACAATACTTTTATTTTTAATCAAGTCATTATGCCTTGTAGGTTATTTGAATGACCTGTGAGACATACTCCACTTTTTTTTAATGAAAAGTAGATCTTCAGTTGTATTTCGTGGAACTGGATGGTCGGCACTTTTCAAGACATTCATCTGAATTTTTTGTTCTATATATTATAAAAGATCATTTTAATGTGTTTCATGAAAAGAGCACGGATTTCATCATTACTTGGTATCTTGTCTGCTGATGAAGACTTGGAAATTAGTGGCATGGTTTTTTGAACAAATAGCCTTTCATATTGTTTGATAAACGTTTTTTGTAATGCACCTTGGCAGAATTAGAATCTTGTTTAAGATATTTTTGAGAAAAAACGGCCATTCGTATTGTTTGATAAACTTTTTTCCATAGTGCACCTTGGCAGAAATAGAATCTTATCAAAGATGTTTTTGTGAATAAACAGCCATTTATATCATTTGATAAACTTTTTTCATAGTGCACCTTGGCAGAATTAGATCTTATCTAAGATGTTTAGACAGCTTTTGCATTATCAGCCAAGAAATGCGAGTGTGGATGAATGGTTGCACATCTTTTGGTGTGTAGTCATTATATTGTACTAGTTTAGAATGTTTTTATTTTGAAATGCCCCAATTTCCCTTTTGCTATATTGGGAACAGATGCAAAATTTACCCATGGCCTGCTATTTAGGTCTGTTAATGGAGCTAAAGTAAAACCAAATATGTTGTGTTATCTCATTTCTAGGGGTTTTTTTAAATTAACCTGTCTTGTTATGCAATTGCCACCTTTGATGAAAATTTTCTGGGGGTCGGCAATATTTAAGAGGTTGTGTTTATGTGGTTTTAATGCACGTCTTCCAATTAAATTGTGTACATGATCTCAGTATGCACTATCCCCTCTGTAAACCACAGGTTCAAAGCTTACCAAGAACATCTTCCCAGGCATTTATAAACCCTCAGTTATCAGGGTTGGCTCAGAGTGGACAACCGGGTATGATGCAGAACCCTCTCTTGCAGCAACAGTGGTTGAAGCAAATGCCATCAATATCTGGTTCAGGCTCATCTTCATTCCGCCTTCAGCAGCAGTCGCAGGTCCTCTTGCCGCAGCAACTGGCTTCTTCTTCTCCGCAGTTACACCAAAATTCTATGGCCTTGAACTCTCAACAATTGTCTCAGTTGGTGCAACAGCAGTCACAGATGGGACATTCTCAAATGCAGCAACCACAGCAACATCAGCAGCAGCAACAACAACAACAACAGCAACAGCAGCAGCAGCAGCTGCAGCAACAACCTCCGCAACAATTACAACCACAACAGCCACCATTGCATCAGCCTCAACAGCAGCAGTCTCCAAGGATGCCAGGACCTGCAGGCCAGAAATCTCTCAGTTTGACAGGATCACAGCCTGATGCAACTGCGTCTGGTACAACCACACCTGGCGGAAGTTCGAGCCAAGGAACTGAGGCAACCAATCAACTTCTTGGAAAGAGAAAGATACAGGATCTGGTTTCACAGGTTTTTCCTGCTTTTAACTGTGTGTTTTCCATTCTTCCTCTGTTAGTTTCCAATGATTTTCTTCCTTCTTTTGTGATAAATTGTGACATTCATCTTTTGGCTGTGCTCAGGTTGATTCGCAAGGCAAGCTGGAACCAGAAGTTGAAGATCTACTTCTGGAGATTGCTGATGACTTCATTGACTCTGTAAGGCTTTACCTTGCTGATATTCCTTTCTATGTTTAGGTGGTGAGTATGTGCATGTGCTACTCATATTTTTTAGATTCAGGTGCAATAGACCACAAATCATGATATAAATAATGTCAGAGTCTGAGCTGTTGTAATATAAATACGGTTAGCATTATGGAACTGTTTTATGTTAAATTTAGCTGGAATATATATTTTTTAAAACTCTGTGAAGTTCTACCTCTTGCGCTTAGCAAGAGATATTGAATGTTTTGGGCTCACAGTGGATGGTTTGGAAGACATGTTTATTTAAGTCATTTGATTTTTGTAGTAACTAAATTTTAGAGTGGGAAAAGAGTGTTTTAATTGGTATAACCCTTTACTTTGTTATAGAATTTTAGCTTTTCTGTCAGGTAGTGCTATCTTGCCATTACTTGTAGCCTATATGATTAAATTGCCACCGTGTACTGTTGTATTGTCTTTTTTTATTTCTTTCATTCAATCTTTCTTCTTATTCTTCACTGTTTCCTACCCTGTTCTGGGTACCTTTCGTCAGCAGTTAAGTAATAGTCATCTCGGTTTAAAACTTACATCATTTCACTGATTTTCAGGTGACTACATTTGCATGCAGTTTGGCAAAGCATCGGAAATCATCAACATTAGAGTCCAAAGATCTCTTGCTACACTTAGGTTTGTGCTGCATGTTTTGCATTTCTGTGGAAGTGTTCTATATTGATGTGAGGATACAATGGATATCCTATTAGTGCTTATATTTGTTATCTTGTGGGGAGGAATAGTCTAGTATTTTACTAGTTGAAGTTGGCATACTCAATGACAATTTAAAATTTATTTGAAAGTTGCTTTGCATTTTCTTACAAGAAACAAAAAAGAAGTCTAAACTTACAATAGCAACTAAATATATCCCGTTGCTGGCTGTCAGTAGAATTTCTGAACTTACTATAATTTATGTATAATTTATTTTCTGTCCAGAGTGGCTTCCTATGCATTTCTTATCTTGTGTAAATTAATGTATTGCTATGTTGACAATAGCGCGGTGTTCCAGAAAGTTTTAGATATTGAGTCTGCATAAGATAGCCCATTATAGTTTCTTCTTACTTTAATTTTAAGAGAAGCTAATGGAGCTGTAACAAATGTTTTACATGGGATTTTGTGCAGAGAAAAACTGGCATTTGACTATTCCAGGATTTTCAAGTGAAGAGCGGAACCCAACAAGACCTGTAAGGATTTCTGTTTGTCATTTTTGAGTCAGTGCACAAAATGTCTTAAGAGTCTTGACTTTAATGCATGTGAATTCAAATTTCCTTTTCAGGGTGATTTTTGCTTATTTAGTAACTCTTTAGTTTAACACATACCTACGATTGTCAAAATCTATTCTGCCAATATTAATCTTTTCCGTTTTACATTTTAGTGTGCCTGTTAAATTGAACCATATCGAGCTATCTTCTCTGCAGCATTTGTGCTGTTGCTATTAGCATAAGCGCCTTTCATTTTATATGGAAATCTTTGATTATTTGCAACATAATAAACAATACAATTGATGAATCTGAATCCTGATTCTAAAACATGCAGTTATCAAGTGACCTCCACAAGAAGCGTCTTGATATGGTGAGTTAAATTTTCAGTACAAAAGTATAATCTGTGTCCTACTCTCCTAAAGCATTAAAACTTTTCCTTTTATGCAAATTACTTGATTAGATACGGGCGCTGATGGAATCATCACAGCCTGAAACAACTGCGAATAATCCTAAAGAAATGATACGTCAAGGGCTTGGCAACCCAGTTGGTGCAAACCATTTAATGAGACCTTCACCAAGTTCTGAGCAGTTGGTATCACAAGCAGCTGGTTCACAAATGCTGCAGCAAATAACTCGGTATTGATGTGCAGAAGTTGTCATTCATAAATTGGACCCAAATTCAATGTGTATGGCTTTCTGGACAGTGTAGGTGAGCAAATGATTCACTTTCACTAATGATTTAGTGTCTCTCCTCTCTCATTTGTCGTTGTCCAGATAGGTATTACTTTCTTATTTACTCATTTATGCTGTATCTTGAGCTTATAAGAATCCATGCGAGAATATATCACATGCTTATAATCTTTATATCACATGCATTCTCCGCATGGTAGGGTTATGATGTGAAGAATCAAATCCAACGTGCATTTTTCAATCATTTTGCAAAGATGCAATGTGAATCATTTCATTGCTGTGTAATCATAACAAGATGCTTGCATAATTACTAAAGTCATACTAGTGTCATCCTTTAGTCTAATTAGCTGGATAAAGATTGCATGTTAACAATCCTCTTATCATTTAAATTCATATTTTATCCCAAAATGTTCTTCGTTGAAACTTAAGAACTTTAAAAGTCGTTGATTTGTCCCTTCCACTCATTATTATTTAATTTGGCTGCAAAGCTTCATTATCACTACTTGACTGCAGCTTATATTGGAGCCTTTATTTAGTATCACATTTTTTTAAAAAAAAAAATTTAGCTTGGCAATTACATCTAAGAAATTACTTCAATTTTAAAATAGGTGATATCTTTCTTAATCTTGTCTGGCTGCTGGAATTCCCCAGAACCCAGTTCAATGCTATCTGGATCATACTATGTTCCTTGAGGTCTTGTTAGTGGCATTTACTCAATATAAGCCTTCATTCCCCTTTTCATACTAAATCAACTGACATTGTCAACTGCCTCCTATGCAGGTTATAGTAACTGAAGCTTAAGTTGTAGTGGATTGACAAAAGCAAAAGCTGTAATTATTTGGTAAGTATCAGAGGCATGGATCAACTTGTGGAAAAGATCACACCATTTGACCTATCTAATTTATCATTTTCTATTCATGATTTATGTGGTGAGCAAGACTATATGGATGGGAGCCATGAGGAGAGTTTGTTCCCCAGTCTAAGCTTATCTGCCTTGGGTGGCATCATAGAGCTTGGATGGGTGCGCGTTGTATTCTTCTTTATTATTTATTTGAAATATATATTTTTCCTTGATTTTACTTGTTCCCCCATTTGTATTCTAGATACTATAAACTACAAGGCTGTCTAAGCACGTTGATTCAGTGATTGATTTGTTAGGTTAAATTCTTTTCATTGGATGGTGCATTCTTGCAACATGTCTTCATCTACGGGCGTGAAGCTCTGTTCATTACATCTTTAGATGTTATAATGCTAGTTACTATTACCGAACTCTTTTCTTTTTATAAAGCCTGAAAAGTAACAAGTATAAGAAGCAGTTTTTTTATTTATTTGTAATTGTCACAACCTGCCACCATGTATCCCTGTGATTTGGGAAGGATTAGAGTTGCAGTTCCATGTGAGTCCATGTGCGGCCAATTTGCTGTTTTGATCCCTGTAATGAGGTTCCAACTTCCACGGAAATAAGACAGCTTGCCATGCATATTCTAGGCAAGGAGTGGACTTTCGTAGCTGAATTTATTGCACTTTCCATGTTTCTTTTCAACAATGTTCTCCAATTATAACTTTTCAAAAACAACAATGAGCTTAAAAAGTAAATAAATTGATTATTATATTCATCCTTTCAATCAAATTCTCCGGAAAGCCTCAAGACCACCTGTTACCTTGCCCGAGTTCCATCAAAAATGGTGGCTTAGGCCTCCAAGCTTTTTTCTTCAATGCCCTAATCAAAAAATAGCTGTTACTGCTCAGCTAGTAAGGTTTTCCCTAGAGTGTTTTATGTATGGTATTTTGTTTCCCTGATCCCCAACTTCTGATCCTTCTTTCAATAAAATGAAACCAAGTCTTAATTGACTGTACTCTTTTTAATGATTTCTTTACCTCAAATATCAAGAACCCATATATAAAATTGTCAGCGATAATCATTTCTACAATTAATTATGATTTATGCACAAAAAATATTTGACGTACAAGCCATTCTCAATTCGTTTAGTATCCTCCAGTTTCTCTTTTTCATGCTCCTTTCATCTCCTCAGCTGTCGAAGCAGTCCACCTTAATTGGCACAATAATTAAAGAGAACAATATGCTCATAAAACATGGACGATTGTGAGAAATTATTTAGAAATTAGCAATCGGGTTTAGGGTTTATTCGCTAAAAATTTTATTTAAAGATGGAAACCAAAAGCATAAATGACCTTTTATTTATGAAGTTGGATTTTATAATATTAAATAGGATAATTAGCCACTAATTAAACTATTGAGTGGCTTCTGGAAAGCATAGGCACTAGACAAAGCACGAATAAAATTGGAGAGTTAATGAGAGGAAAGAACTCAATTCTAAAATTCCTTAATAAAAACAAGAACTCATCATTAATCTAACTGCTTTACAAAATCTTATGAACCTTAAAATCAAATCTTAATTCATTTCCGTGTCAAACTAAACATCATTCCATTCATGTCGGCTTTAGACCAAGCTTTTGCTACCGTCATGCTTTGTCTTTGTAAGGTGCCTAACATTTTCCTTATCAGAAATGCAAGTACGATGATAAATCAGTAGATTCGGTAGTGACTTGGTAAATAAGGCCTTGTCATATTAGCAAAGAAGAGGTGTTACAACTTTTAATATATTTATAAATTAAAGAATTATTTAGTCACCATTATAATTTTTACTCATACATGTAAGTTTATGTTTAATCTCTCAAATAAGGTAATTATGGGCTAAAATCCCCATGATGGTGGTCAGTTCCAGAGGGTGTCATACACATTGCTTATTTGCAAGTCCTGAAGATATTTTCAAGCATCAACTCTCTCCATATATGAAAACAGGAGTGCAAGAGGGATAGAGTAAAAAGAATAATAATTTGGATCTGCATTCTGCATGTGTTGTGAATATAAATGATGACTAGGATCCATTGAAACTTGTCCAAGGAGAACAAATCGGTTTCTACCTTATAAAATTTGCTCAGGGTTTTTACCAAATCCCTGACAAATCCCTCATGTCGACCTACAAGAATGTGAATGTGCTTGAATTTAATTAAAGTCTTATCTCTGCAAATGTACAGCTGTGAAAGGAAATCAATTTCCATGCATCACTCAATTCCTTGAGGAACCAGACCGAAGAAAAAGAAACATGAATGCTCTGACAATAAAGGGTCCAACAAAGTGTTTAAACTTTGTGGTTTAAATGATCCAATCGTTTGGAAGGCAGTGTACAATTTTGAGATATGAAAAGGGAAATAACTAATGCAAGATTCCATGGGTAGAGGGAGAGATTTGGTATAATCTGGAAGGCTACTATTTACTTCTCATGTGTGTATATTAAAATAATAGTAAGGTTTCCATGCCCCAAGATTGGGACCATTGCCTTTTTCTTTTTCTTTTATTTCCCAATATTTGATCAAGTTGATGTTGATTAATTAAAGGACCCATCTTATACTTAATTGAAGAGATTCTCTACTTTATTATCTTTGTCCTATGGCCCAAGTTTGTGTCATTATTTTTTTAGGGAAATTTGCTATTTTAAAATGAGAATAGACTGCTTACGCAAGGAATTAAAGGAAGGGAAAAGTGATATCCTATCGTGAAGGTGCCAGTTAGTCATATTAATTTTAACAATAAAAATCTTTTTATGAGTTACTTTAATAATTCACAATTCAATATATAATTGCTAACTTTGTAGAGATTCGAGATTTGAGAAATGAGAAGGGGTCATCCTCATATATATATATATATTTGTAATTTGTTAGATAGAATCCGAAAATTAAAGGAAAAATGTGGGTCTGTTTTCCAATCCTTTGCTCTTATATTGTTTCGAGATGAAAGTAAAAATTGAACGTGAAACCCCCCCCCCCCCCCCCCTTCCTAGGTTTCTAATTGGATGCGTTTTCACCTGATTTTTATTCAGCAACAGAAAAGACAATGGATTGACTTCATGCTTCGAGAGTAAGCAAACAGAGGCCGGAACTCCAGAGTATAGTACAAAGGGAAGCTTGGAATCAATTGATTCCGCCTTACACTTCACTGCAATCATTCTACAGATGAGTAAAATTGGAGTGAATATGCCAGTTACCACCCATGAACCATGATAATATTGCCTTGTCTTTTATGGTTGAATGGTAGGGTTGCAGCCTCCTATGAAAATAAAAGTGAGTAGGTAGGCCTTTCATCCTATTTTTTACTGCATAAAATGAACATCTGGAGCCCCATTTTTTGTCCCATTACATGCGCACAAAATGCAGAGTTTTAAGGATTGATTCTCTTGTCATTGCTCAAGCCTGGTATAATTATTGTTTCACCATTAGTTATTATTAGCAGAAATCATTCACATGGATTCCTGCATCTTGTCTTTTTTATAGCCTGAGAGGGTTCCTCTACTATTATCTCAGCTATTATTGGATGCCTCTCCTATTCACCTTATAGGAAAAAAGAAAAAAGAAGAAATTTTGGGCATAGGGCCAATTTGGGAGCCAACAAGGAATTAGTGAAAAAAAGTTGGCACGACGATAGTGATGTGAATAGCTGAAAAATCTTGAATTTAAATATTTAAAAAACACAAAGTGACAATATAATTTAAACTTAATTTGATTTATATATATATTTTTGTTCATTTAATGAAACTGGACCAAGTGCTAATGGCTGTAATAAAGTTCAAAACCAAAAGAAATTTTGTCAAAAAATAAATAAATAACAGCAGCTCACACTTGTGAAATCAAATGAAATCTTTCTCAATTTTTGTGAAATGCTCGAACAATGCGATGGGGACATCTTGGTAGATCATACGGTAACATTCTATTATTCAGGTTGTTTGTTGTTAGCATCAGCTGAGCATTTGATCATAGTAAATGGTTGATGGATCTATTGATGATCAATCAAGGTCCTGTAAATGCATGGCAACGATGGTACATACTTTGGGTGGTTAGCTCTTGTACTGTGAGATGGTATAAATTTTCAACCAACTTTCAAGCTCATGAAAGAAAGTTAGCTTGAGAGGGAAAAGCAGCCAGGACTTGAAGAGAAAGGCAGATGAATGTCATATAGTACAAGGTTAAAGGGAAAAAATGTCTATTGAGCTATCATCATCTCCAACATCCAATATACTAATGCCTGTGTGTATTCGTTGGTGTAATTTAATAATTTCTAGGTGGAAGGTTTTCCCTGCCTGTCATTTATATTGCTATATAATAATGTTGAGAGCAAAACACATAGTCCCTTTTGCACATTCAACCAAAGCCTTTAAATGAACAATTTTCTAGCTTTTATTTATAAATTTGAAAGGTGAAACATGTTTATAAATGAAGTGAGGCATTACAGAACCACCACCTACTGACTGGGAGACTATATAAATATAAGAGCAACGTATCAAGTTTTAGCACGCCAGACACAGACTCTTATTTCTCTCCCTGTCCTGGCCCAACTCCTTTGGAACTAATAACGACAAAATCACTGGCCTACACACTGAGAAAGAACTAGAGAAAGCTAGAGGAAATAGATAGAGCTGTGTGTTTCTTGAAGAGTTGCTTGGAGATGGGGAGGAGTCCTTGCTGCTCAAAAGAAGGATTGAATAGAGGAGCGTGGACAGCAATGGAAGACAGAATACTGAAAGACTACATTAAAATCCATGGTGAAGGACAATGGAGAAACCTTCCAAAAAGAGCTGGTGAGAGAGAGAATTTGGATTAGGTTTGAACTTTGAACTAATCTGAAACTTCAAACAAGAAATTGTTAAAGCTAAAGTTGTGCTACATGTATGGCTCATGCAGGTCTTAAAAGATGCGGGAAGAGTTGCAGGCTCAGGTGGCTAAATTATCTGAGACCTGATATCAAGAGGGGGAACATTTCTCCTGATGAAGAGGAACTCATCATCAGGCTTCACAAGCTACTGGGAAACAGGTTGGAATTTTCTTTTTCCCTTTCCACCCCATTTTTTTTTAAGGCAAAACTGATACGACACAATTATTCAGTATTGCATTATTGGCCAACAAAATCAAACTTCTGACAGGTATGAGGAATCATGGAGGTTGCTGTCAAACGTCATATCATTAACTTGATGGTTTAAAACTAATGCACTTTGCGTAATGATGAATATTTACACAAATGCCTTTAAAACAGATCTAAAGAGCTTATTCCCTCTCTTTTCTTGTTCCTCATTTTTTGGTTCTAAGGAAAAGGAGCATCACATATTAATTGATGCTGACGGTGATATATGTGCTGAGTGCAGATGGTCTTTAATAGCTGGGAGGCTTCCAGGGCGAACAGACAATGAAATCAAGAA